TAATAATATTAGTATTATTAGTGTTGGTTTTAGTATTAATATTAGTATAGGTATTAGTATTATCAATGTTGGTTTTAGTATTAGTAGTAGTAGTTGTTGTTAGTGTAATATTAGTGTTAATATTATGGTGGATAGGCAATTGTACGCCGCAATGTCCAGTGTTAAAAGTAGAGTTGATATAAATATATTTATCAACTCAGAATCGGGCGATATAACTAAAATTACGAGCAGTGTTGTGTGCACAAAAGATTTTCAGCGAATATGAAGGTAAATCACAAACAAATGAATATTTTGATTCAATAAAACATTTTTTTTTGGTATCATTTACATGTATGTCAACTGTTCAAAATTTTCGTTCGTTTTATTTTATCCAAAATATTTTTTTTGAAAAAATTGATCCCGTGCATCGCACGGGTGAATTACTAGTACGCTATAAAAGGGGAGAAAATAAAGCAAACAAATATATCACAAAAATATTTAGGGGAAAGTACAATTTGACCCCTGAACTATGGGGCTTGTCGCAAACTCCCTCTGAACTACAAAACGTACCAAAACGACCCCTGTCATTTACGGTTAACGTTAACAAAATTAACACCGTTAATTTTATTGTACATTTACTTAGTTGCCCTCAAAATTTGCTTACTAAATTGGACCAGGTCAACAACCACTTCTCTCTCTCCTCTCTCTCTCTCTCTCTTTCTTTCTCTCTCTCTCTCTCATATTCTTTCTTCTTCATTTCTGCCGGCGGTGCCCCTCTCTCTCTCTCTCTACTTCCACCCCTTTGAAGAGCTCAACCACATCTCAGTCTTCACTCGAATCCGACCAATTAACCCAACTCAGTCTCAAATCAGGAAATACTTAATCGTATGGCCTCCGTCGGTGATCCCAACAATCCCGCCGCCGCTGCTGCTAATAATATCTTCAATAATGAAGACCTCGTCGATGGAGATGATGAAGAAAATTCCAACCGAAGACGATTCTACCTCGCCGCCCAAGTCACCGTCATCTTCCCCGCGATCCCCATAATAGACTACCACAATCAGAAAACGATCAACATAAACCCATCGTCGCCAAGAAACGGGTCCCACTAGACGAATTCCACAAGCTTTTTTCGGCGCCTGTGGACCAACGAAGACGAAATTGAGCTCTTACATGGATTTATCGACTAGACCACGCAACAAGTTGGGGTCCACAATTTCTCCCAACACTAGGGGATTAATTCATAATCACAAAAGCAATTTAAGGTCAGTGGTAGGAAGATTTGGAAGCAGAGGGTTGTTGTGTTTGAACGAATTCTAAATGCCCAAAATTCAATTTTTGCAATTTCTTCTATTTCTCTGCAAATTTTTACGATTTTTTTTAAATTCGTTTTCTGGTTTAATTTAGTTTAGCGTATTTGTTATTGATATTAGTTAATAGGGCAAATGGCAAAAATATTAGTTAATAGGGCAAATGCCAGATTCCAGCGTTAACTTTTTTTTTTTCCTGAATTTTTTTTCCGGCCGGTAACCACCGTTGACCGCCGGTCTCCGGCGTTGACTTTTTTTTTTTTTTTTTTTTTTGGAATTGTTTTTCTAAGAAAAAATTATTTTAATTAATATTACTGTCTTGGCTACTAAATTACTGTCTCAGACAGTAATATTACTGTTTGGGACAGTAATATTATGAATATTATTTTTCGAACAGTAATATTATTAGTATTATTGTCTAAGACAGTTAAATTACTGTTGGAGACAGTAATTTAACATCCAAGGCAGTAATATTATTTAAAATAATTTTTTTTAAGGAAAAAAAAAAGTCAATTAACAATTAAATTACTGTCTCCGACAGTTAAATAACTGCCGGAGACAGTAATTTAGCAACGAATACAGTAATATTAATTAAAAATATTTTTTTTAAGAATAAAAAAGTCAATTAACAGTTAAATTACTGTCTCCGACAGTTAAATAACTGCCGGAGACAGTAATTTAGCAACGAATACAGTAATATTAATTAAAAATATTTTTTTTCAGAATAAAATAGTCAATTAACAGTTAAATTACTGTCTCCGACAGTTAAATAACTGTTGGAGACAGTAATTTAGCAACGAATACAGTAATATTAATTAAAATATTTTTGAAGAAAAAAAAAAGAGTCAATTAACAGTTAAATTACTGTCTCCGACAGTTAAATAACTGCCGGAGACAGTAATTTAGCAGCTAAGACAGTAATATTAATTAAAATATTTTTTTTTAAGAAAAAACAAAATTATAAAAAAATCCTAAATTCAATATAAATAAAGTAGTGTAATTGTCAAGTTTTTGGAGATCTTTCTGTTCAAATGAGGGCCACAGAGGCTAATCTTCAACATAATTGGAATGACGATACTCTCGGCCAACTTAAGTCTTGTAAAAAGAAACTGAATGCCAAAAAAAAAAAAAAAAAGTCAAAAAATTTCAGGAAAAAAAAAAATTCAAAAAAAAAAAATTCAGGAAAAAAAAATTTTCAAAAAAAAAAAAAAAAAAAAAGTCAACGCCGGTCAACGGCGGCGACTGGCGGTCTCCGGTGGTGGCGGGTCAAAATCGGGGTCAAAATTGAAATTAGGGTTAAAATTGGTTAATTGATGAAATTGGGCTAAATTGGGGTGTAAATCATGAAATTGGAGTTAAATTGGGTTTCAATGAATTGGGGGTAATTTTGGTATATATAAAAGGATTTTCCTTATTTGCAAATAAGTTTGAATGGGTTGGATTTATTTGAAAGACAAAAAAATTGGATGTCCCTCTTTTAATTAAGTGCCCTTGTCATGGGCCTATTTGCCATTACCCCTAATTAATAATTCATTTGATTTTTGCTTAACTGTAATTTATATATATATATATATATATATATATATATATATATATATATATATATATATATATATATATATATATATATATATATATATATATATATATATATATATATATATATATATATATATATATATACAGACGCAAAATTAATTAAAAATCAAAAAAGTCAACTTGACACGTCATCACACACAAACGGGTTGAAAACTAATGGGCCATTTTGGTACGTTTTGTAGTTTAAGGAGGGTTTGTGACAAGCTCCATAGTTCAGGGATGCAAACTGTACTTTCCCAAATCTTAAAAAAAAAACTGCTTGTAGGGTTTCGGGGCAAACCTTTCTTTTATATATAAAGATAGGATTTTAAGTCATCGATCACGAATTAGTAAGTCTAGGTATGATTGTGCAATTTTTTTTTTGTTGGGGGGCGAAACACAAAACGGTCCAAAGCACGGGAGGCAAAGTGCACTTAACCCTATATGTATTTCTTTATTTTTTTTCAATAATTTAATTTTAGTTACTTTTCAATTTTATATGATGCAATAATTATTAGATTATTATGTTTATTATGTATTAAAGTTTAAAATATAAAATAATTGATGTTAAGGGGGGAAAGTGATCCGGTCAGATTTAGTACGATCCAACAAGGCAATGCCCAATTGAATTGGGCCCATGTACAAAGAGAAAATAAAGCCACTAGGTGACGAGCAAACAAGCGACGAGGAGACAATAGGCGAGCGGCGAGCTAGGCGAGTGACGAGCGATGAGCAATAACTGGCGACTAGGAAGTGGGACGTGGCAAGTACCACCTCATTACTTAATCACCAAGGCTTGGACTTGAAGTCACTAAGTAAATTGAATAAACTCGTTGAAGTCCACAAAATATCTCTTCTATAAATAGAAGAGATATTCCACCTTCTTCAGACAAGAATGACAATGGAAACAAGACAACAAATCACTGCTCTTCCTCTCTATTCATCTTTTTTTTTCTTACTGAATATATTTTAGAATGAGAGCCTTTGAGGTGTTCTGACTTGGGCGTCGGAGTGCTAACGCCGGGAGCACTTCTCCCGGTCCTTTTGCAGGTCCACGATGAACAAGCCCAATACGGAATGGACTTGGAGGTTTGGAATTCCTTGAAGCGGAGAAACCCAGCCGCATCAACTGGCGCCGTTTGTAGGAAATTGAGCGTTAAGACGTCGATTTTTCACTACTTCTACTCTAACAAGCAAAACACCTGTAGGAGCGGATGTTAGTGAATCGAGAGAGATTTCTTGGGCTTTTCGTAAAATCCATGCATCACCATATGTGTTTTACTTGTGCGATTTCAATACATATGAGGCAGACCTAGGTACATAAACCGGCCCAAAACCTCAATCAGAGATGTTGGACCCGGAGGACTCCTTAGAGCTCGAAGTTGATTTGCTTTAATGAGCTTGATTCATGGGAGTTTGATTTCCTAAGCTTATTCTTTGGCTTGAAGCTTTTCAAGCTCGCAGTATTCTCTCGAAATGAATTCCAGAAGTTTATATTTACTGCTTGGAGCTCAGTTGTCTGATTCATACCCAGGTTTCGCCGACTCAATGTTCGCCGAGCTGAAATTCATCGATCCAATGTCTGTCGAGCTGAGTCTCGCGACCCAATGCCCATCAAGCTGAGTCTCGCGACCCGATGTTCCTGAGCCGAATCTCGCGACCCGATGTTCCTGAGCCGAATCTCGTCGACTCAATGTTCGCCGAGCTGAAATTCACCGATCCAATGTCCGTCGAGCTGAGTCTCGCGACCCGATGTTCTTGAGCCGAATTTCGCCGACTCAATGTCCGCCGAGCTGAATTTCGCCGACTCAATGTTCGCCGAGCTGAAATTCACTGATCCAATGTCCGTCGAGCTGAGTCTCGCGACCCAATGTCCGTCGAGCTGAGTCTCGCGACCCAATGTCCGTCGAGCTGAGTCTCGCGACCCGATGTTCCTGAGCCGAATCTCGCCGACTCAATGTTCGCCGAGTAAAAATTCACCGATCCAATGTCCGTCGAGCTGAGTCTCGTGACCCGATGTTCCTGAGCCGAATTTCGCCGACTCAATGTCCGCCGAGCTGAATTTCGCCAATCCAATGTCTGCCGAGCCGAGTCTAGCGACCCAATGTCCGTCGAGCTGAGCCTCGCGACCCAATGTCCGACGAGCAGGAGATATCCGACGAGCAGGATCTCTCCGACGAGCAGAATAACTCAGACGAGCTGGAGATATTCGACGAGCAGGATCTCGCCGACGAGCAAGATCTCGCCGATGAGCAGGATCTCCCTGACGAGCAGGAGATATCCGGCGAGCATGATCTCGCCGACGAGCAAGAGATATCCCACGAGCAGGATCTCTCCGGCGAGCATGATCTCGCCGACGAGCAGGAGATATCCGACGAGCAGGATCTCTCGGACGAGCAGAAATCCTCTGACGAGCTGAATAACTCAGACGAGCTGGAGATATCCGACGAGCAGGATCTCGCCGACGAGCAAGATCTCGTCGACGAGCAGGATCTCCCTGACGAGCTGGAGATATCCGACGAGCAGGATCTCGCCGACGAGCAAGAGATATCCGACGAGCAGGATCTCTCCGACGAGCAGCATACCTTTGACGAGCAGGATCTCGCCAACGAGCAGCAGATATCCGACGAGCAGGATCTCTCCGACGAGGAGAATACCTCTGACGAGCAGAATAACTTAGACGAGCAAGAGATATCCGACGAGCAGCATACCTTCGACCAGCAGGATCTCGCCGACGAGCAGGAGATATCCGACGAGCACGATCTCTCCGATGAGCAGAATACCTCCGACAAGCAGAAGATATCCGACGAGAAGGATCTCGCCGACGAGCAGAATAACTCAAACGAGAAGGAGATATCCGACGAGTAGGATCTCTCCGACGAGCAGAATACCTCCGACGAGAAGGACCTCGCCGACGAATAGAATAGATCCGACGAGCAGGATCTCTCCGACGAGCAGAATACCTCAGACGAGAAGGATCTTGCTGATGAGCAGAATAACTTAGACGAGACGAAAGCAAAAATTTATCCGAGTATTGGGAAGCACGAGCTTCTTATACTTCACGATAGCGAGCACGAGCTCGACGAAACGAAAAATCTATCCGAGTATTAGGAAGCACGAGCTTCTCATACTTCACGATAGCGAGCATGAGCTCGACGAAACAAAAAATTTACCCAAGTATTGGGAATCACGAGCTTCTCATACTTCGCTATAGCGAGCACGAGCTCGACGAAATGAAATGAAAAATCTGAGTATCGGGAAGCATGAGCTTCTCATACTTCATGACTGCGAGCACGAGCTCGACGACACGAAAAATCTATCCGAGTATTGGGAAGCACGAGCTTCTCATACTTCACGATAGCTCGACGAAACGAAAAATTTACCCAAGTATTGGGAAGCATGAGCTTCTCATACTTCGCTATAGCGAGCACGAGCTCGAAAAAATGAAATGAAAAATATGAGTATTGGGAAGCATGAGCTTCTCATACTTCATGATGGCGAGCACGAGCTCGATGAAACGAAAAATCTATCCGAGTATTGGGAAGCACGAGCTTCTCATACTTCACGACAGCGAGCATGAGCTCGACGAAACGAAAAATTTACCCAAGTATTGGGAAGCACGAGCTTCTCATAATTCAGGATAGCGAGCCCGAGCTCGAAGAGACAAAATGAAAAATCTATTTGAATATCGGAAAACGAGTTTCTCATACTTCGCTATAGCGAGCACGAGCTCGACGAAATGAAATGAAAAATCTGAGTCTTGGGAAGCATGAGCTTCTCATACTTCATGATGGCGAGCACGAGCAAGATTATTGTAGATCGGAATGTACCAAAGTAAACACGAGATAAGGAAAAAATCGAGAAGGTAAAATTCTTACGAGCCATATAACGTGAGAGATGGCAGGGTGCACTCAATTCAAAAATTATCATACTCAGAAATGTAAGCGAGAAATTATATATTAATAGAACTAATTAAACACCAAGAAAAAATTCAAAAAACGTAGTCGGTGGGTTAAGAAAATTTCGCATACTCCAAGCCGACCTATTCATATTCTCACGTCCAACTTGGAGTGGGGGACTAGTTGATCTGGTCAGATTTGGTACGACCCAACAAGGCAATGCCCAATTGAATTGGCCCATGCCCAATTGAATTGGGCCCATGTACAAAGAGAAAATAAAGCCATTAGGTGACGAGCAAACAAGCGATGAGGAGACAATAGGCGACGAGCAGGCGAGCGGCGAGCTAGGCAAGTGACGAGCGATGAGCAATAACTGATGACTGGGAAGTGGGACGTGGCAAGTACCACCTCATTACTTAATCACTAAGGCTTGGACTTGAAGTCACTTTATTAAGTAAATTGAATAAACTCGTTGAAGTCCACAAAATATCTCTTCTATAAATAGAAGAGATATTCCACCTTCTTCAGACAAGAATGGCAATGGAAACAAGACAACAAAATCACTGCTCTTCCTCTCTATTCATCTTTTTTTTTTCTTACTGAATATATTTTAGAATGAGAGCCTTTGAGGTGTTCAGACTTGGGCATCGGAGTGCTAACGCCGGGAGCACCTCTCCCGGTCCTTTTGCAGGTCCACGATGAACAGGCCCAATACGGAATGGACTTGGAGGTTCGGAATTCCTTGAAGCGGAGAAACCCAGCCGCATCAGAAAGTGTTACAAATGATAATTTAAACGGGAAAATGTTACATCCACTATACTTCAGAGGTGCAAAGTGTATTTAACCCTTTTATATTCTCCATAATAATAATTGAGTAATCCAGAATTATGAAAATTTTATTTAATGAAAGATTATAATTTATTTTTATAAATAAATTAAGCTATTTATTTATTTATAGTACATGTACTTATAATCTTACTCCTTCTCATTTCATTTGTCTTTCTAGAATTTTTTTTTTTTGAAATAATTGTCACTTTAGATAAAAATATTTTTACATACGAATTTTACAAACTATTTTTTATTAGTAAACATAGATATTCAAAATTCGGAGAGTGATAAAAATTCATCATATGAAGAAATTTGATACTAACTAACTAAATGAAGAGTTTTTTTAATTATATTTTAGATAACAATATATGTTAAGATAATTAAAAAATAATTTTATAATGTTACGTTGGCATAATTTTTTTCTTTCATTAATGTTATTGTACGTGCATCTAGATTTTTTCTTATAAAATTGACATTTGTTTGAACTTGTCTGATATGCCTATTGGCCCAGCCCAAGAGACCCATATTTACCGGACCACACGCCCAGTTTAATAGCTATTTATACGAAGGCCCAATCACATTCAAATAAGGTTGGGCCCGATAAATTGATATCGGCCCAATCAATAAAGTATAAATAGAACTTAAATTCATTTAATTAAGGTACGCTTTTATTATTTAACCGATTCATCTGCTCGTATTCTCTCTACTATTACCGACTTTCCGCACGTCTGACTTGAGCGTCGGAGGGGTTTCCGCCGGATCAACCCCCGTCTTAGATTACGTATTTTCTGTTCGCAGGATTCTTAAGTTAATTAGAGTGTTTCAGAACCATCTAGCTCGTGAGCACGTGACCTACCTTTCTCTCCGAGCCTTTTCTAATCCAATATCCCATGTGATCTAAAAATAACATCATCATTTTGGCGCCGTCTGTGGGAATGCATACCAGATCGCGTAGCCTGCAAGATGCTCCTGAGTCATTTACTCGGAGAGAGAATGACACAGCTAACAACCTCCCAATTCGCGGAGGCTCTGGCTTGCCACCTCCTCCCCGTGCTCCGGATCCACATCGCGAAGTCCAAGTGAATCCCCCTCGGGATCCACCACTCGGCGATCGTCCACTACCTGATTCACCGCTCCCTGCTCCCCGAACGGGTCAGATAACCGAGGAAGCAGTCCAACATATGATAGTAGAAGCTTCTACCCGCGCCGTCGCTGAGGCGGTGGCACAATACTTCGCCATGATGGGAGCAAATGCTCCCCCGCGATCCCAGCAAACTCTCCACTCGCGGTGCCACCCATGGCACAACAACCGGTCCAGAACAACAACCACCGGTTAAGTGTGTCATCATCATCCTCGGACCCACAGTCCCGGATGCAGCTATCCACCAATCACGGGGAGGCACAGCCCAAACAGCAATGCCAGCGCTAACCCCAACGGGGTAATGCATCTCCACGGAGAGCTCATTTCCTTAATGAACGAGAAGACGAGATAAATTGCCAAAACTATTTCCCCCAAATGAACAACCCAATTGACGGAAGAGCGCCAGTCCCAGCAAGGCGTAGTCCTTTCACCATGAACATCCTCAACGAGGTATTGCCTCAAGGAGTGAAAGTATCAGGTTTACCTCAGTTCGAAGGAACCACCGACCCGCAAGAACACATAGAGAAGTTCCATGCCATGGTAGATTTGTATGGCCCAACAGATGCATCAATGTGCAAGATGTTCCGCACCACTCTTTCCAAGAGGGCCATGAATTGGTTCAATTCTTTACCTACAGAATAAATCGACACCTTCTCTCGATTATCACAACGCTTCACCAACCAATTCGCCATCAACAAGCAATACGCCAAAACCCCAGCACACCTCTTCTCTATCGTACATAGAGACAATGAAACACTCCGCAGCTACATCATGCATTTTGTGGAAGCTGTCCATGAAGTTCCCAGTGTAGGACAAGACATGCTCTCAGGGATCATGCAACACAACATGAAGTCGGGTAGGTTCAAAGAATCTATCGTCGGAAGGCCTCCTAGCAACTTAGATGAGTTGTTGAATCGAGCTGAGAAATACATACGCATAGAGGAAGCCTCTACCCACGCCCTTCCCAAGAGATAGAGAGAAGATGATCGCCAGGACATTAGAAGACGAGATGATCGACGTCCTCCACCCCCATCTCAAGGCCAACCATCTTCATCTTATAATTGATTTACTCCACTAAACACTCGCCTCACTGAAATCCTTCTTCTTATAGAACAAAAAGGTCTGGCAGAGCCTCCACGTCCAATGCAGCCCAACACAAAACGAGAAAGATCGGATCGCTATTGTCGATTCCATAAAGATAAAGGACATACTACCGAGGAATGTAGACAACTCAAACGGGCGATTGAGAAGCTGATCAAGCAGGGGCACTTAGGCGAATACATCGATAAGCCACGAAATAAACAACGTGATGACCTCCCATGCCGAGATAATAATCGAGATCAACAGAAACGACGGGAGGAGGGGGTCATCGGCGCGACCAGCAGGTGGCGACTCACAAAATGCGAGACGCACCCTTGCTCGATCAGCGCGTATGAATCAAGAACATGCGTCTCCATCGGCATCTGTCTATCAGATACTAAGACCTGATCATAGCATAGTCTTCAATTCCTCGGACCTTGAAGGCCCAGATAAAGATCATGTCGACGCTCTGGTAATCACGGCGCTGGTGGCCAACTTTTTGGTTAAGAAGATATTAGTTGACGGTGGGAGCTCACCCGACATCATGTATCTCCATACATTTAAGCAGTTGGGCATAGATAACGCCCAATTTAGCCCCATCACTATGTTGGGAATCAGACACGTGTACGCAGCGGAAAATAAAAATTTTATGCGATTTAAACAACTTTAAAACACATAAACACATGCCCGATAAATTAAATCAATTAATTGCGTACCTTTGCGCTTCCAGCGAAATTAAAAACAACATACATGCTAAATTGTTTAACCGGATTTAAAACAATTAACATGCTCGCGTTTAAACCAACTAACATGCTCGCAACGATTAAAACGATTACACATAATCACATAAAATCATACGAAAGCAAACATGAATATATAGTTTAAACGTAAACGAATCAAAACATGAGATTCGTGTGTTT